CGCTATGATCAGTTCGATATAGAAAATAATTCGATATAGCAAAAACCGTTTACAGCGAACTTCCACGGTGCGTTCGTTGTAAGGCAAGAGCTGTAAAATTTTTTTACGCGTGCAGAGTGTATTTTTTTAGCTTTCTCCCCTTCTGAATCGCTTCTCTTCGCTCAATGTGGTTCGCAACTTGAGCTTTTAAAATTTCCTTTCTTTCCAACTTCTTTTTTGGGGGAAGGGACAGGCTAGAAAACGATTGTTCGCGCGTTTTTGGAAGCCTTCCCGGGGGGGGGGAGTTCGTTATAGCCAATATGTTGTTCGTTATAAAAAGTGCTTTTTACATGCAGTTGTTTTTAAATTTTCCGTGAGTTTGATATCGACAATAATTCGCTGTACGTGGGTTTGTTCCATACAGGTTTCACTGTACTGCACTGCTGTCCAGCGCAGCGCACCTGTTGAGCGTCTCTTTAGCAAAAAAAGGGATTTGTATCAAAAGGGGAAAGTTAAAGGGAAGCTGAAGAGGAAAAATGCGGGGAATTCTAGAGTATTTTTGTCCCATGAATTTGAGTATGATATTCGTTTTCCCGAAGATATAACTATACGCGAGAAAACACAAAAATCATCCGACTAGTCGTTACGTGACGAAATGAACTTTCGGCCGTTAAGACCCTGTCGATCATGTGGGCAGCGCGGGCAGTTGCAAGCTTGAAAGATATATTCCCCCGCACTGACACCAGTTGTAACGTTTTTTTTTTGTTTTTTTTTAAACTTTTTTGATAATAACAAAACTGCGCCTGCATAGCTTTGATAGGCGCTGAATATGTGCGAGAGCGGAGATCCCGAAAACTTCTTTTATTATGTAACGCTCTGGGAAGAAGGCGCTTCAACGGTCTTTTCAAAATTATTTTCTGCATCCTCTGTGCACCAAATTGAAAAAAAAAAATCTTAATATTTGTGATTCTGGAGGCCAAATGGAGATAATCTAGGTGTTTTACTGAAATACAGAAATACCTCAGTTTTTTTTTGTCATGATAACTTTGAAAAGCAGTTGCTGCTCTGTTACATTAACTAAATGATTTAACATTTAGTCCATTTCGTATATATTCATCACACGCTTTGATTCAACAAGGTCGTGCGACGGTAAAAAGATATATATATATATATATATATATTTCAAAAACTGAAATGAAAGTTTTCTGAGAGTTACATATATAAATCGTAGTCATAGTGTGTTGTTATCAATATCTTCATAGTCAAATGAAAAAAAACAAACAACGGAAGTACCTTAAGAGTAACTAAGTTACTATGATGAAGTAACTGTTACTGTAATGCATTACTTTTATTTTTAAGTAACTGTTACTCTAACTTAAATACATTTTTGACAAACTATCTGTAACTGTAGTTAGTTACTTTCTAAGAAGTAGCTTACTTATCACTGCCTTAATTTAGGCGGGAGCTCTCCACTCTACCTGCTCTAAAACACCGTCTCTTTATTTCCCAAGAACATGTTGTTCATAAAATTCAGACAAACACTCATCATTCCCGCAAAACTCTATTTATATGCTCCGCTTTGACCCCTCCTGCCTCAAATTGTCCTGAACTCTATGCCAATATCTACCACTGTATCTTCTATTGCCCTGTCGCTTTTCAATCCCCTTTCTACATCCATCATCCTCTGTCCTCTCCTAGCATACCTGGGTGGCTTCTTTTCATGAAGAGAACCAGCTCGGCCTGGTGTGGCTGGCGCAGCAGATTTTGAGCGCTTAAAGGGGTCATGAAACGCTTTTCCAGCTTTTTCCTGTTTAGCTTTCCTCCTCAACTCATAAATCGCGCACTCCACCAAACAGTTCAAGAAGACGAAAAGAGGCGGCCCCTCTTGCTCGGAAACCGGTTTGTGTACCCGGACAGAGCCATTGTTCCCCTAGGTTAGCCTGTCGCTCAAAATTCAGACAAAAGTTGCTTTCCTTAACCCGTTCACCCCGAAGCTGACAGTGCTGTGAAAGCTACGTGCTCGTTGGGCCAGCCAGACTTGCCACGTGAGCACGCTCCTTCGCGCAAACCCACGCGCAGATAATGAGGGCAGGTGATGAAAGGGAGACGGCTAATTAATCAGGCAAGCGCGTAGCTTCCACCACAATGTCAGCTTAGGGGTGAAGGGACTAAGTGAGGTCCGGTTTCGTGTGACGTGCGTTTGGACCGGATGACGCGCTTTTGGGACCGCGGATGTGTCACAGTGAAAAGGCAGAGAGCTTACGAAGGGGAGGAGGTACGAAATAGTCCGCTGTGTTTTCAAATTTTTGCACTGAAAGACAGGCTTTTGAGTTTCTGCCTTTTTTTCTTTTGGCCCACTGAACGATGTGCTATTAGTAAAATCCCAATCTAAAATTATTTATCCCAACCCAAAATTCGTTTCATGGGCCCTTTAATTTGCGTTCGATAATAAAGTGATTCTCTCCCGCTCTCTCTCAAAGAAAATAATTTCCCAGTCTTTCTGCCGAGCTTTTAGTACTGCAACACAGGTTTACGAGGCATGAACGTTAAGAACTAATTGTGTCACATGTGGAAATGATTGTGCAACTGTGACTGCCATTATCGTCTCGTGGTAATGGGTAAACGAACGGCTGAAGCGTATATAAGAAAGTTTACCTTTAACTTTGGTAGCCAGTTCAGAACCCTAGACGCTTCAAGTAACCTTCACCATAAGTGTTTTTTCGTCCCTTAGGTTAAGCAAGAAAAAAAAAACTATCCTGAAAAACGTAAACAAAATATTTCCAGATGTACATTAAGGTTTGGGTTTTATAGAAGTATGTTTATATGCTCGGTAACAATACAGCTATTCGTATTTTCTAGTTGGTTGTCATGTTCAATTGGAATATTTCGGAGATCAAGAATTGACAAGAATCAATGCGGAATATAGGTAGAGTAAATGTTATGGTTTATAATTTCTTGTAGCTCTAAAGTGTCGAGCCATTTTCAAACACTGTAGATATAAATTTGGTATTCACAAAATACTTCAACATCTTTGCTTTAGGAGGCACATTAAAATATAAACTCTTTCCAAGAAAAACAATCTTCTGAGCGTTTATATATTTTGAAGTTTTCTCAGAATGGCATGAATGTACTATTGTTTGGCGCACGTTAAAGACCCTAGGCTATAGCTGTTGTACTGTACTGGCTAAATTTATTTTCTACTGCTGAGAGACAAGTTGCCCATTAAGGCAGACTAACTCCCGATTTTCTAGACACACATATAACACAATTACTTTATGAGTTCTAAACGAATTAGCTTGAGTTGGGTTGCCAAGAAGGACTACATCAAAGACCGCAAAAATAAACTGTTTTACATACATTTGATGTTTTTCACCTGAGAACAGCCGATACGCAAGAAACCGCAGGAACCTTAGTAGAAACTGTAGCGCGTCATTCATTGTTTACTTTGTGTAGAATAGTATAAACACAAATTTATCTTGTGGTCAGAAGAAATTTGAAAACCATTGCTACGAAAGGCATTCCGCAAGCCCTTTTTGTCGCTTCCGGTGGGAGCTTGCCCGAATTGAGGGGCGAGCCCGTCTTTATGAGGCCATTTGTGATAATGGCACCTCCTGCCCGTCGCCAACCAAGAGCGCGTACGCACACGTGGCAACGATGGCATTGTTCAAGCTTTAGGGCTGTCTCATTAAATGCTGGGGAAGCTGCCAGAGCTTTTATACAACTCTGCGATTGCGAGTGGAGTATAGGCATTATTTGAAATTCCATGGACTTTTGCACCCGACTTCACTTCCGGACACGCCACCAAGTGCGTGTTCCAAACCTAGGAAATCCGTCGTCAGTAAACCGTCTGTGTCCCTTCCGATGAAACCTTGCACTATAATTGTTTCATCCGCATGCATGTAAACTATTCTTTGTTAGCGTTGTCTTTGGCGTTGATAAAGCGCAGAAGCAAACAGACGGCTCAGTCGATTACAGAACTCACAAAGTGTAATCGGGGACGTAGTTGGGGGACGCTTAAAACCCAAGCTTGCATCGGTTTTTTTTTCCTCTTTGGAGCCACTCAGCGGTGTTTTCCGGGGCCATTTTGCCCACCGACGAGGTTTAATAAAAAACGGCATGCATAAAACTCGAATACCAGCCGATGCTCCTTTATGTTCCCGACCACTCTGGCTGGTGCAGTCGTTCACAACGTAAAAAAAAAGAAGGAAAAACCTGAAACGACCTAAAAAGAAAAAGAAAAAAACACTGCTTTCTTTTCATAGAAAGACATTGCGGTCATTCGACGAAAGCTATAGGGTCAATATAACACTCTAAAGGAACGATATTCATGCACTGCGGCCTCCTCGGAACGGCGTGGCAGAAACGCAAACATCGGTGGTCCCATAGGTGGTCGTGATTGACCCAAATCGCTCGTGACGTTTCAATAGACGCAAAGAAGCAGGAGAACATCACTTGCAAACTTTGTACTTATTGTTTATAAAGCTTTATTTTGTACTTAGATAGTGGAAAACACCCGGCATCGCGCGTTGCGTAAGAAGGAATAAAGCTGACAAGTGCACGAACAAATCCAAGCCGTACGTTTCTGCCGCAATCTTCACCGTTCTTTCTCTCGGGACCGCCCACGTCAGCGACCAAAAGTTGCCACTTAATTTCTGCTTTCGTTTTACCCCCCTGATGAAAACCGGTGAATGCCACCGGCATGAATTCCGGTGAAAATTTCAAGCCGGAAGCAGCCTTGGATCGTGGTTTCGTGCAAGCGCCATGTGAGGCACCTCGAACAACAAGAGTGGTTATGTGAAGGTGCTAGAAATGCGCAATAGGTGGTTCGGCTTGTTGAATACTTGTAAAACAACAATGTTTTAAGGCGTTACATATTTTTAGCATTGAACATTTCGTAATCTTCAAAATTTTCAACGTGATTGTTGATGGCATATCTGATTGTCCCATTTTATATTGTTTTAATGAGCGTTTATTATATTGTACTTAATTGCATTATCACTGAATCGCATATCTCTTCTCAGTTCTCACAAGTCGACTCGGGGGATGATAATGCGAACATCACAGTTGGAAAATGTGACAATGGCCGTTGTGTGTCCGACGGAGGGAATTACCAAATAGAAGTTAAGAAAGATCTGGTCCAATCGCGCTACGAAAAAAGTGAGTATATACAATGCATCAACAAACAGACTGATGTTTACTTTCAATATACTTGCGGTTATTATCCAATGTTATGGTCAGTCAGTAAACCCATGCACTTAAATCAGACCAATATCCTCCACAAAAGTTTATTAGAATAAATTAGTTCAATATAAAGCAAAAATCGCCAGTATACTTGTACGTACTATCGCGGACTATATCTGAGCTAAAACGGTCCTTCACGCTTTTTGGGCGCACCTGCCAGTTCTGAGAGAGTTGTGATCTGAACTAACGGGATGCGAAGTTGAATTCCCATATTCGCTGTATTCGACAATTCTAGAGAAAATCGAACTCGCGGGGACAGGAGACGCAGAAAACGTCCGGATCGATTGTTTCAGCTCATATTGTCCCCGAGGGTAAAAAAGTGTGTGTTAAGTCTTCCATGTCTGATTTTAATCTTTTATACCATTGAGTTTATCATAAAATGTAAATATATTAACGGATTTTTACACTTCATATCTAGTTAAAAAGACACCCCAGTTGAAAAGCGTACACTCATTTCGAGGGGACATTCGACCACATTCGGAAAATGCCATTTTCGAGGAACGTCTTGATAATACTTGTAAAAGGACAGACCATATTGAAGCCAACGTTTGCAAAGCTATATTTTATTTTAAGTTTGATTTTTCCACTGTATAAGAAACACGTTTTAAGGTGACGAATATATTTATTTTTTTTGTATTGCAGCCTATGAAGATTACAAAAACAAGCAAAACTCCAAGTGAGGCTCGTCCCAAATTCCATGGAATGACTCAAATACACTCACGCAACCTTCAAAAACTCCCAATACAAAAAAAAAAATGGGTTGGCCCTTGCATTTTAATTACATCATTATAAAAAAAAACACACTGGATTATTAAAAAACTGAAAATAAACGTTTAATAAAGCAAACGAGTGTCTTCAACTAAAGCAAAAAGAAGAACCGCGAATCCTGCGTCGGTGACTCACTCTATGTTTGAAAGCCCGCGGCTTTTACTTTCCAATCGTTACTCAAGAGGGTTCCGGGAGGTGATCTCTCTGTCTCTCTTTCAATTTCTCTGGGGAATGCGAGCTTGCTAAGATGCCAGGGGAAGCCAAGTTGGGGCAAGGTGAAAAGGTGGAGAGGATTCAGGAAACGAGGAAGTGGGGAAAAGTGAACACATATGCGTTGAGTCCAACCGAGTTCGAGGGTTGCTATGGCAACAGCTGCGTCGGCTCCGACACAACGGGGTAAAAGCCGGTTTTACTGGAGTCGACGCAAGTGTTGCCATAGCAACACTCGCACTCGGTCGGACTCAACGCATGTGTGTGAATCACCCTTTACTGAAAAAATGGTCAATTGTACGCAGTATTCGAGTTGAAACCGAAACTAGAGCTTAATTATGCACTCTAAGAAAAAAATTGGCCTCAAGGGACTAACGGCAGCATTTGGTCCTCTGAGCTCCCAGTTGCTCCCCGAAAGGACCATCTGGTTCAAGCTAGGTACCGTGCGCAAAAGCTGGGGACTAACTGCCTTCGACTGGGACTAACCGATAGGCGTGCGCGATCAAAAGCAGCCATTAGTCCCCCTCAGACAGGGAGCATCTGTATGATTTAATCCCCGAAGGCAAACGGAATGTTCGCCAGGAGGACGGATGATATTTCGCTTTTCTTGGTGATCGGCGAGACACAGCCCAGCACGGCTGAAAGTGTTGACAAAACTCGGACGAAACTGGCGAATTTGTTTAATGTGCCAGGAACGTTCAGACATTACATGGTAGAACTTCGCGCGTTGTGCGAATGCCAATTAACGAATGTGTTGACTCTACTTCAGCCAACTATCTCGTCAAAAATAATCTTAACATTTCATCAGTCCCATTCACATAATTTGCCTTCGCGCAAAAAATGAGCATTTATCCAAACGCAACACCTCCAAATACTAACCTTTTTCTTCTCTTAAATGAAACTTAAGTGTTTGTAGAAGACGCGCTTTCAACACCGGAGTCTCGCAGTCAGAATAAATGGTAACTTCAATCGCTTAAACTGAGTTAGTCAAGCCTCGTCTCTGCGTCTCCCCGTAACCAACTTTTCTTGGTAGTCCAGTGTCGAACTCAAAATCCGCAACGACACCACTTGATGCACGGCACGCCGCCGATTTTTCGGTAGACCTCGATTTGGTTGGCAATTTGCAGACTGCATCAATAACCCTTTCTTATCAGATAACCCAAAATATTTTAAAGAAATAAAATTTTTTCGTGAAGTTCTTAAATTTTAAAGTTACGCCGGCCGCGAAGGTTCCAGGAGACGACTTTCTACTGGCAACAATAAAAAGTTACTACTTTTCCCTACCGCGTACGTCACACATGTACAGGCGGAAAAGCGACTCGGGCAGCCGCGAAGTGGCTTTCCGGACGCCAGCGATCGAGATAATTTTTTCGCAGCTTCAAGGTTGCAAGTTCCTTTGCAATGGGTAGCAATCTGTGCTCCACAATAGATTGTAGAAACAGTGCCGGGAGAAAGCTTATTTTTTACCCTTGTTTTCATGGGAGAAAAAAAAGCGTTCCCCGGCAGCAATGGAGGCCAGCTACGTCAAGGTGCTTTTGCGCGAGCTGTGTGCCAAGAGAACTAGTGTCACGTGAAACATTTTCACTTTTGCTCGGAATACTTTATAGCCGCGAGCTGCGAGCTGAGTATCCTTCAGCAGCTGGAACAGCTTCAAGAGCGGCAAGCGCAAACTCAAGCCGGCTGTGGCCATTACGACATCCGTCCAGTAAACGCTAATAATATTGAGAAAAATAGTACACTAGCACCATAGTCGACATTTGGCAAAGTCACATTTTTTATTCACAATTGGTTGAGTGTTTTTTTTATTTTTTACAAACACTATATTTGTTTCGGACGTTGAATCTAGCTCAGGCCACTCTCGGAGCTCCAGTCACGCGGCCGATATGTTGAAGACGAGAAGTGAAACGTCTAAGCAAAGTTCAAGACTGAATTTAGACATGACTTTCGACATATTGATATTCCTCTCTGCTATTACAGAGGTTCATGGAGCAAGTGTTGAGCTCCATTAATTTACGATAGAGCCCTGCCTGGTTTGCCAAATGGTTGGCGTGCAATATTCGCTGCAGAAGAAGTGATGAAAACGTCTTTAATTTATTATATTGCGGAGAAATTTTATATAGGACTGAGAAGCTTTTTTTATTATGAAAATATTAATGTTGTTAAAGGGAGGCATGCAAATTTACAGCTGATGGAAACTGTGCTAAACCAACTTAACTTGTAAAAGAAATCTTATATAGAGTTACCCCCTTCCCATGTGCTCTCGTGGATGGGTGTTTGAACGCGTTGCATTCTACTCCAAAAGTAAAAAGAAAAAATATGGGTACACATTTTTTTAGTAACGTTTGTTAACATACTTTGAATTAGAAAATTTATGATGTCTTTCTTTACCTCACGCACAATTGTATCTTCAAGCAAATATTCTTTATTTGGAGTATTTTATACGCATTCCATTGCAACTTGATATTTGGCTTGGTGGTTGTGAAGTTCTTTTAATCGTCCTTTTCAACACAATCTTCATGACATCTGATCTGCCATCTGATCTAAACGAACGCAATTCATTCCACTCTATACATTTCATTGTTTACGAGAACCACAGTCTACATGTCTTAGGTCCCAGCCCAGCACGCACATGTTCATCACTTTGGAAGGCGAGCAATGTATGCGCCACACGCTCGAACGCTGAAAATGGCATCGACCAGAAGCCCTTTTCAGAAATGTCTACAGATCTCTTGCTAACTTTCTTAAGCACAAAGGAGCATATTCATGCCACAAGAGTAGTTACACGTGCTGACGCCTGCAACAGTAACTTTTCAAAAGAAAATATAAAACAAATGGCACGTTCCTTCAGGTCATACGAGCGTGTGGGGCACCTGTACCCACGTTCCGAGCATTTCCCGGGGTGCTTTGGCAATTCGTCAAAAAATGTATCGCGTGACTCTTCGACCTTTCTTCGCCAGCCATCTTCTAATAAAAGGGAATGGATTTACCAGCGATATCACGAAACTAGTGAGGCGCGGCTTGAGCGTAGCGAGTTGCAAAGCCGGTTTTATGAAAATTCCAATTGCTCCCGTTGTTCTTCTTTTTTTTTTTCTTAGAGTTATGCACGTAAACCAAGGCCGTACTTTGTGCAAATATATATAATTATCAACTTCAAACAGCACAAACACCCAGGTTTTCTTGCTGTTAGACGCGAGAAAGGCAGGTGCGAGCGTACTTGATTGCCGGCCGCGCTCCTCGCTGCACACAAGTGACGTCACGCCTGGGTGGCGGGGAAAACTGGGGAACACCTAGAGAGACCGATGTTTCGGTTTGGGCAGCAAACAAAATATCACTTTTTTAATTAACTAGAGTGAATTTGGGAGAACGAGATAGCATTTCAGAATCAGGAAGTCATCCGCATTCAGATTATGCCCTTGGATTAGGTAGCTCGAAAAGTCGGCGGAGTTCCCCTTTAAGCGCGACACATGCGCGGACAATCCATCCGATCCGACGTCCCATCCGGCAGTACCACTGCCTGATCCAAAAAATTTGGTCGCTGTCCAAAGCGCCAGATAGTTTCGCACGGCGGACGGATTGTCGGATGCGTCCAGCCATCGACAGCACAGCTAGCGCGAACGTCATGATGACGTACTGGGTCTGTCGGGACGAACAAGAAAACGGGACGGGCGACGGGAAGCCGGACGCGTGGATTCCGCTGACCCATTCGAGAAAGATGGCCCCGGCAAATAATGCACGCGCTAACGACAACGAGCTTCTAACTTCGCTCGTGTGAGCTAAACCGTCAATCTGGGACCAGAGATTCGTGAACGCGGACCTCCGCTGGGGTGCTTGGATCTCCTGGGCGGAGCCGAACGGATCGTCGTGTCGCATGCAAGGTCGGATGTGTGTGTCTCAAACTGTCGCGTGCGGCGATTCGGAGCGGCGTTCGGACTGTCGGA